TCTTCCTGTATGGGAAGCTTTTCAATATTTGAAACATTAGTGCAGTGGTTTATGTTAAAATAAACCTTTAGGTAAAGTTTTTGCAAGCGTTTTTTTCTTGTGTTTCTTGTGAATTTGGTCTTAAATTTTTATTTCAAGTGGCATTAAAAAGTCTTGAATTTGACTTGCCTGATGCTGTAGGAACCCTGTAATCTGATCCCTCTTAATAATAACCTAGAATCAAAGCCACTTTCTACAAGGTGAACTTAAGCTGTCAAGTTTTTGCTTAAACCTTTCGGGGACTGCGTTCAAAAAAGTGGAAGAAAAAAGTCATAACTGTATTTGCAGTTGATTTGAGAGGCAAGTAAAAGCTCTGCAAATCGAAAAAGATTTCTTCATTTAAAATGTGAACTAAAATTATTATTAAGTGAGTATAAATTAATTTTAGTAGGCCTGTCATAAAAAAGTAATAAATTAATTAATTGCATCATTAAAATTAATCACAAGAGAAATTTAAATTATTGGCTCTTGCTTTTTTTTTTTTTTTCCCTTGTGTCCCTATCTCTTTCTACTAATGAATCTGGGTGATAAAAAAGGTGACACTTTGGTGCGTCAGTCTCCACTCACCCCCTCTGCTTATCATATCCTTAGTGGAACATGAAAGCCTGGTGACTGAGGAGTGTCAAGCCAATAAAATCATGCTTGAGATGTAAAGAAGAAAAACATGAAACCTGACAGCTACAGTGAACACTTAGGGTCCGATACAGTTGCTAATATTAATGTTTATCAGACTAATTTCTGGCAAATGTAAAAATAATAGGCCTGGTTTAGAGGCTACCTGATCAAATCAAGGACAAACGCTCTTATTTCTAGAATTCATTACTTATTTTTTGCAGTGTAGAAGCTTTCAGACGTGGAGGGTTGACTCAGACTTTAAATAAATTCAGAAATTAGTTTTTATTTTAACCAGGTAGATCTAAGCAGCTTCAGGTTCCCGTTGCAGAAAGTTTTATTTATTGTTACTTTTAAATCCTGGTATCAAACCATATTATTTCACCAATCCGATAAAAATAAAAATTTTAGCAGATATGCCCTCATAATAAACTCTAGACCTGTTTCTTTTTGTTTTAGCATCCGCTGTAAGAACGGCATGAATCATCTAAGAGACCGGGTCCCCCACATGGCGGATGGACTCTGCCAGTTTGCACATCAGTACAACAACAAGGTCCTCATCTGTAAAGTAAGTCAGCAGCATCGCAGCGTTACTGTTATGGGTCCCTCTTAGTTCGCTCCTCATCTGTTTAACGTCATTAAATCTCCAGCGGTGCTATGAAGGAGGCAAAGAGGTGATTGTCGTGCCCAAAACCTCGGCTTCCTCTGACAACCCGTGGTTCGGGCTGGCCAAATACGCCTGGTCAGGGTGAGCAGCTCACAGTCTGCCTCCCAGTCTTTTATTTTATATCCAGGTTCTGCTTATTTCTTCCTGATCTCCTCCTCCTGGTTTAGATATGTGTTGGAGTGCGCCAGCTGTGGCGTTATCTACAGGAGCAGGCAGTACTGGGTGGGCAACCAGGACCCTGAGAGCGGCGTGGTGCGGTCCGAGGTCAAACACGTCTGGGAGGATGTGAGACGAGGATTTAATTTGACACTAAGAATTAAAATATTTCAACAGGTTTCAGATGTTGCAGATGTTAGAGATTCCTAACATTAGATTCCTGTGTCCTGTTTCAGTCTGAGACCTTTCTGACCAGCCACCAGAACGCCGCTCAGAGGGTTCTGGACGGGATGAACTACGTGATCCAGTCAGTGTCTGAGTATGGGACCGGCCCGACCAAAGCAGTGACAGCCTGGCTCACTGACCAGGTGGCTCCTCCATACTGGAAACCCAACGCAGAGATCACTGTGAGTACTGGGAACTGAAGCAGAGATCCAGAACAGGTCCTATACCTGTTAAAAGTGTAAATTGCTCTGATGTAAAAAACATAACCCTACCCCTAGATTTTGAAAAATGTCACCAAAGTGGTCGGTGATAAGAGAGCCTGAGGGGCGGGGCTAGGTAAGGGATGGGTGAAGAGCTCTGTACTTTTATTAATGCGTAATGAATCCCTTCTGCAATTCTGTTCACATAAAATCCCGCGTTTTGTTCCCTAAATGTAGGATTGTGACTCTGAGGGAGTGGAAACCTGGGCTATTTTCATGCCTCAGGTGATCGTAGCTTTGCACACAATAGTGCGCGATGACATCAGTGGCTGCTGGTGCAGTCAACTTCACAAGCATGGGTGATAGAAACCTCTAGGAAGTATGAGTCCACTTTTCAAAAATGCGATGCAGGTTAAGCTCACTGCAGCATTTGTGATGTCATGGCCACAGCGACCTCTAATTCCAGGAGGGACCTGGTTAAGCGCAGGGTTTATCGAAATCTTTCTGGTATGCGACACCATTAGCACACCTGTATCCGTTAGCGACTCATCAATCAGCTGCAGGCGAAGGAAAGTTTGAAACAGGAGCGGAAAGGATGATACAAGTAAGGCAGCTGCATCATCATATGCTCCTGGTTGGTGAGCCTCATGTTTAAGATGCCATAAATAATTTGATACCACACAGGGCTCGATGTTAACCATCACCCGATCTCCCGGAAATCAAATTTCATTGATCAATGATAGCAAAAAAAATGTATTCATCACTCAAAATTACTTTAAAATCACCGACATTCGATGAAAACGACCCAGAAGCGTTGCCGGCGCCATTTTTGTTGATTTGTACACATTCTCGCGTGATTTGAAAAAGCCGGGTGATTTTTCCGCCAGATGGCGTGATTTTTGTCCACCTAGCGGTAATTTTGATGTAGTTACCAAAACAACAAACGGCTGCATTTATTTTGTCAAGAAAAACTAATCCTGAGTCAGTTAAAAGTCAGGGAATTCTGAAATGATGTTAGACTCTGGAAACCCTGTATAAAATAACTATGTATAATGATTCTCTAGAAAAGTCACATTATATTAATAGTATTATCTTGTATAAACATACCGTGACTCTAAAATATAAGTTACTCATTTGTGACATTGATTTTGTCTTATGATTTATCTTAAGTTTTTAACCTGTCAAGTTTTTTTTTTAGATTTTTAACATTACAATTTATATTTTTCCAAGCACACAACAGTTTAAAGCAAAGTTTAGTTTGAAAAGAATGTGCAGGAAGGATTGAAAAGCATGTTAACACGGTAATGTAGAATGAAGTTCATTATCTGACGCATGCATATACACACCGGGAACCTGGAAACTTACTGAATTACAAAAAAACATTTAAAAAACAAACATGTTTCATTGAGATATATATACAAAAAGGAGTTTTAGGAACTATATTTATCAACCAATATACTGGGCAAGTAAAAACTGTTTCTGGGCAAATGAAATGTGAAAGTCACTTGCCCTTTGGGCAAGTGGTAAAAATCCTTAACATCAACCCCTCCCAGGTACCTGCTATCGGTACCGAATCTGTTCAGATGTGGGCGTGGCATTCGCTCTCAATGTGCGCTAAGCGCCACAGGTCAGAATATTCTAATGGATTGGATGCAAAAAAGTTTTATGTTTATTGCAAGTTGGATTCATACAGAAATGCAGGATTATGGTGACAAACACCCTCAGCCATGGGGCAGGCAAATACCAGCATGTACCATTTGAACTAATGGCAAAATTCAACCACAGTTCCGCCTTAGGCAGCTGAATGAATGTTGCAGTGAAATTTTAGCTAAGATGGTTTTGAGAAAAATATTTGCAGATTTAAAAATCTCACATTAAAGGTATCGTGGAGGATTTTCTCTAATTTTTTTAAAGACCTGCCCTCTCCGCTTTAAAAAAAAAAAATGAGTGTGCAAGAGCATGCACAATCCCATTTCCCCTCGTGCACGCTCTGTTTAAAAGTTGCTGTTCTAATAGCTCATACAAGCTTACTGTGTCCGAACGTCCACCCTAACCCTTAAATCCATTAATCACTATATAGAGTAGGGACTTTATAGTTAGCTTATTCAATTTAGAGAGCTCTCCTTTGCGAGCAGAGCTCTTAGCGCAAAGGATTCTGGGATATATCTTCCTCTGAGGCTTTTCTGAGGCAATTTTTCTCTTACGACCCTCGGCCATTTTCAAAGAACCGCAGTGAGAAAGTTGAGCTTCAATGACTGTCTGAAACCGTAGCTCACTACAGATATATACCTGAAAGCGCACCTGCGCAGAAAAAGATAGCTAATTGGCAGGCACGTAGGACGGCCTTACGTAAACATATCACCAGAATGATTGGCAATAAGAAGGACCACTTATTTAGATGATCCACCCGGAAATAAAAGATCGTCCTCTATACCTTTAAAGTGGAACCTCATAGATCCAGTTTAATTCACATAAAAAACAAAAAAGGTAGATTCTGGGGTGAGTTACACTTTAACATTTAGCATGAGGGGATTTTCCACCTCCTCCTGCTGAGTTCGCAATTTGAGATGCTGAGTCTCATCAGTTCCTGTTAAATTCCCAGTGAAGTTAATGTTTAATAACGGGACAGAAAAGCCTTTTTCTAGCAGAATTCCCAAATAGTTTGGGGGTAGATATCATGTAAAGGTTGTCATGGAGACCGGAGGACTGCTGCTGTTCTGCAACAGTGAGCCTCATAACCTCCTTAATATCCTGCTCCGTGTGTTAACTGATGAGATGACAATGAGGGGTGGAAAAGTACATGTACTGGTAGTGAAAATATCTGGTAGGTTCCATATACGCATGAACTGAATGAATACAGCTCTGAACAAATGCAGGGTGTTTATGAGTGGATCTAAATGAGGAATGCACTGATTTGTAGGGCAAAAAAAGTGAAACCAGAGCTGGACAGAAAGGACTCCCAGCTTTCACTAAACAAAACCTGTGTAGTTAGACTTACACTTAGACAGATTTTATTTGTCATTTTGTTTACACAAGTGTAAAACAAAAAGAAATTTCATTTGGAACAGCTCTCTGGACGATTTCATCTTTTTAAAAGTGCAGCCTTGAAGTTCATTCAGCATTTAAACCGTTTATTGATTCAAACTATTAGAGCTAAATGGAAACATAAAAAAAAATCAGCTGTTGTCTAAAAGGCTTAAAACTCTAAATGTTAAACTGTCAAATAGTGAAAAACCGTCTTATTTAAAATGATATAAACATTTATAAGTAGATTTTATGGGTTTTATCATCCATCTAACTAAGTAGATGGATGTAGTGCACAGGTTCCTAAAGTGGGGGTCGGGCTCCCCGGGGGGATCGCAACATGGTTTTCTTTTTCTTTTTTTATGTGATACCTTAATTATGTGAAGGACCAAAATATATCATAAAACACATAAATGTAAATGTACCAATAAATAAGTTGATATAATTTTATTTAAATTACTTTAAATATAACAATTAATATACCATTAAAGTAGAAAATGTACAATAAACAATTAAATGTCCCATTAAATAGTCATTTTAAGCGTTTAATTGAGTATATAAAACCTATTAAAAAATATAATTGTTCCACTCTATAATTTTATTTTTTCTATGTATTCTATGAAGTCTGGGTATCCCTGATGTAACGTGTACTGGGTACAAGTTATGATCGAGTAAATTTACGTCATTGGAGAATCCTTTCAGACTCGTAGAGGAGCGTTCATTAACCTTCTCCTCTGCATCATAGATGGAACAAAGATGGCGATACCTCTCTTTATTTTAGTGTTAAAAACAAGCGGCCAATTTCTATTCACAGATTAACAGTTTAGTTTAAGATAATTTCAATTCATTTTAAACAAATTTTGGACATACTGCACCTTTAACCTATCAATGGGAAAATGCAAACTCTGTGCTAACTGATGCTAATTAAGTGTTATTAATACGTCATTATTCGTTTGCTTCCAAAGCTTCTGTACTGATATCTAATATAATATCATTGCATTTAGTTTATATCTACCCTCCCTCCTCCCTCCCTCAGGCCTGCCATGAATGTCATAAAGAGTTTGAGGAGGCGGAGAGGAAGCATCACTGTCGGTCGTGCGGCGAGGGTTTCTGTCATCCCTGCTCCAGCCAGAGGATGCCGGTGCCGGAGAGGGGCTGGGGCAGCAGCCCGGTCCGAGTTTGTAAGAACTGCTTCCGTCAGGGAGGCCCCCCTGACAGCAACAGCCAGGGTAAGAGCCAAGCAGCCTGTCAGCCAGTCCATTACTGGACAGGGCTCGATGTTAACCATCGCCCAATCTCCCAGGGCAAGTAGTTTATATTGTTGGGAGTTTCATTGCATTTGCCTCCCGGGCAAGTGCAGTGATTGCAAAAAAAAAATTATTTATCACTCAAAATTACTTTAAAATCACCGACATTCAATGAAAACGACCCAGAAGTGTTGCCGGCACCATTTTTGTTGTTTTGTACACAATCTCGCGTGATTTGAAAAAGCCCGGTGATTTTCCGCCAGATGGCCTGATTTTTGTCCACCTAGCGGTAATTTTGATGTATTTACCAAAACGACAAACAAGCTAGAAAGCCCTATTGTACCTGTGTTTCTGTATCATTTTTTTCACATAATCACTCAAAAATCACCTACATTAGAAGAAAACGACCCAAAAGTGTCGTCGGCGCCATTTTTGTTGTTTTGTACACATTCTCGCGTGATTTGAAAAAGGCGTGTTATTTGAAAAAGCCACGTGATTTTCCGCCAGATGGCGTGATTTTTGTCCACCTAGCGGTAATTTTGATGTATTTACCAAAACGACAAACAAGCTAAAAAGCGCTATTGTACCTGTAGGGCAGCAACAAGAATCGATAAAATCGATAAAAATCGACTTTTAAAAGCGTTGGCAACGAATTT